CATATAGCAACCATGGTACAAACAACTATTCCGGTAACTATGGCACAAATGACCATCTAAAGACTGATGTAAATGAACCCATAATAATCATCGATAAAATGTGTCAATGAAATAACTATAATTCGGGTAGTGGTGTAAAACCGCTTACAAAAGCATTTAATTAGTGAGAGTCAGACCAAATGAGCAGTATGGATTTAAAGAAATCGTTTAAATTATTCATTATTGTAGGATTGATTGTGCAATGTTGTATCAATGAATATCTAATTTATTAATAGTTTAGAATTAATGCGCGAATTGAAGCATAAAATATTGATTAATAAAACTCAAATTTTATGAATAATATAATTCATATTTTTGTACGTACAAATAGCGCCAATATAATTACAAAAAAAATCGTATTGTTGTCTAATCTTATTGAGCGCTATTTATATTTATAAAAGCAAAAAAAAATAAAACAAAAACCACAAAAAAAATTAAATTTGTAAAATGCATTATCTTTACTTAGAGTGAGAATTCTCCGAATTAAGTTTTCTGCTCGCCTAAGATATACTGGTTATATTATCAATTTTGCGTATTACTTTTTTAATGTAGCTTTTTATGCTGTTACATCCGTACATGTATTCTATCAGTCTAGGGCTAAGTGAATCGCTTGACGATGAACGTTACTTGTAACAGTAATTCGACTATAGATAGAAATACATTAGTCAATCGATGATTCTGGTGAATAACGTCGAAAATAAAAATGTCGACGTAAAAAGGTAGAAAGTAAAAACGTCGAAAATAATAACATAGAAAATAAAAATGTCGACAGCAATAAGACCGAAAATAAAAATATCGAAAGCAATAAGGTAGAAAATAGGATGTCGAACATAAAAAATTTCGGGAAGTAAAAAGATACTGGAAAAAATGAAACATTTAAAGGAGAACTAGCAAAATGGAACGTTTTTATAATATAAAATTACAGAAGTTTATATTGGTATAGAATGGTTCAAAGAAATATGAAGTGAGATGGTACTAACTACTAGTGAATAGAATGTAGTACACTGGTAATTAATGCTATTGGATAACTACGGAACGTATCATATAGCATCGAAACAAGTAAGTACGTATAACGCATGTATAGTCCAGAAAAAAAAAGAAATAAAGGATCATTTATTATATGTGTTAATCCAAACAAACACACAGTTGCTGCATATAATTTGAAGAATTTATTCATGACGACATTAACTGATATAGCTGAAAAAGAAAACATTAATTTAACATTTACGAAATCAAATAAAGGTCAATTGTTGTTAGTATTAAATGGCTATTTATACAAGTGTAATAAGAAAACCAAAAACAAAAAGTATTGGGTCTGCACATACAAAGAATGTAAAAAAACCTTACATACAAATTTGAACGACGTTTACCTGTGTGGCAATACAGATCCACATGATCATGAACCAAATCCTGATATGATAGCTGCAAGAAACGTTCGAAACAACATTAAAGAACGAGTTCTTAAAGAAGCAATACCAGTTTCTATTATTTATGAACAAGAAGTGTCAGATTCATCCATCAATCCAACAACTATAGCTATATTACCTACATGTCAAGAACTTGGTACGTTTGTTAAACGTGAATATTTATTTCTATTTTTATTATTTATTTAGCTCCAACTGCAACTAAAATTCGAGCAAAAATATTACCTTTACTTCCAAAATCCTGTCTTTTCGATATTCCTGATGAATTTAAAGTAACACTGGATGGAAAACGGTTTTTACTTATGGATGAAACAATAACTCGTCGTGAACGTATTTTATTATTTTCGAGTGATCAACAATTAGATATGTTATTTTCTTCATCTATTATTTACATGGATGGGACTTTTTCAAAATCTCCACCACATTTCAAACAAATATATATTATACGCGCTGTTTTATTTGATATTTGTAAGCAATATCATCCTCACATATAATAAAATCGTTTTCTTATTTAAGGTTTACCGTGTGTATTTTGCTTATTGACAAACAAAAAGTCTGTTACTTACAGACATATATTCACCGAACTTAAGGAAATGGCACGTGAACGACAAAAAGGTTTTGCACCTCAGCTGGTAATGTCAGATTTTGAAACAGGTGTTTTACCAGTGATAAAATCAGAAGTAAGTAGTTAATTATTACAGAGCCAATCTTAATTTTTTCATTCTTAGTTTCCATCAGCTCAACATCACGCGTGCTTTTTTCACTTTACGCAAGCAATATTTCGTCAGATACAACATACTGGACATCAACGTGATTATTTATTAAATGACGATTTCAGAAATTTATGCAGAAAATTAATGGCTTTGGCGCTCATGCCACGAGAACTAATTACTGTTGGTTTTAAAGAAGTTCAAGCAGCTGCAGATCAACTAGATGGTATTGAAATGGACAATATTTTAACTTATTTCGAAAATAATTGGATTGATGATACGGATTTATGGAACGTGTATGGATGTGATACACGTACGAATAACTCATGCGAGGGTAAGGATATCCAACGAAAGTTATAATTTTTTGTTTATCTTTTTATAGGGTATCACACAAGGATCAATAATAGGATATTCCGAAATCATCCCGATATTTGGCGACTGATCAAATTTTTACAAAATGAAGAGAAACGTGCACAATGTGTATCAATACAATGGCTATCAGGTGCATCTAGACAGAAAAATCCTCGCACCGTATCCATCCAACACCGTCTCAATAATCTTTACAGTCGATATGAAACTAATCAGATCAACGCCTCACAACTTTTAAATGGACTCGCAAACATTGTAGCAAAAAAAAAATAAATAAACATGTACAAGAAAAACGGCTTTTTTTGTTCCTCATTCATAATTTCCTCAATTCTATATTCATTAAAACTTTTTCATAATCGTTCTATTTTTAAATTTTAATAAACCCTTCATTATAATACTATGATAATAATTTTTCCTTTACTATGCTTCCACTCTATTTTTTTGACATTATAATGTTTCGACATTATAACATTTCGATATTTTTATTTTCGGTCTTACTTCTCTTCGACGTTTTTGTTTTCGACATTTTTATGTCTTTTTTTTCGACGTTTTTCCTTTCGACATTTTACCATTTCGACCAAAGTCATATAGACCCAATCGATGTATACTCTCTTTCCATCTAATGAGTGTGGCTGTGGTTGTTTTTTGAGATGAATGCGAGACTCACATTCCGTCCAGAACCACATCCACACCACACACCGGCACCCCACATTCTCAATAGAAATAATGAAATATAAAAATATTTTTTCAACTCATCCTTCCTCTATTTCAATTGATATTTCATTTTTATAAAAGGTCTCACAAAAAAATTTTTTACTTCTCCGATACAAACATGGTGCCGTTACAAAATGATACAAAAATTAAAATTATAGGATCTATACTTATGAAGTTATATACTAATTAATCGAAGTTCATCTAAGTTTTATATCGCTGAATGCTACTTTTAGTTATCCTAAAATTTCCTTGGTACTTTCTGCTGAGCGAAATCTATGATAAATTACATTTTTTGTATTCAAAATGTTAAATCATCTTTTGGTTCGATGAAACAAGAATTTCTGGTTGTCTAAATGAGAATCAGACACCGATCTTATGGTCACCAATTCATGCAGTTCAATGGAATTAGTCTCTCACTCATATTTTGAGAACCGTCACATAAATTTTTTTGATGAATTTAGCATTAACTACATAAGGTACCATTCCACATGCCCACATCATCCGTTTTTCGAGATTCTAGGACTCCGTTTGTCCTCATCTCATCGCTGGTCATAATTGCCGATCAGTCAAGTGGATTCCTTTCTCTTCATAACCTCCAGCTTATAATCATCTATGGATTGTCGGAGATCTCTTCGCTTTCCGTTGTGATAACTAAGAATGCAACAGTTCTTAGTTCACTCAAATATAAATACAATTTGTTGTTTTGATTTGAGTATGCTTCGTCTTCAAAAAATACTAATTAGTACACATGTAATCTTTGTATCTGATCTTGTCACTTTTCCATAAATATTTCTCTGATTGTTGAGTTTGATTCATTTCTAATAGCATTCTGTACCATATGTCTTCTAGCATGTTATCTAAAGTCAAGGATTGTTGTTTCTTTATACGATAGTGACTACTATTTTACTTAACACTTCCCCAACTCTCAATATTATTTAAAAAATAGCTTTTTATTTCAGAAAATCGAGTACAAGTAGCATTTAGCGATATAAAACGTAAGTGAACTTCAATTATTTAGCATATAACTTCGTAAGTATAGATCCTATAATTTTAATTTTTGTATCAGAAAAGTAAAAACTCCTTTTAGTGAGACCTTTTATATAAATGAAATTTTAATCCAAAGATAGGAAGGATGAGTCGAAAAAAATGTTCTTCTGTTGATGTTTCATTATTTCGATTGATAGTTGGTGAAATCAGTTTATTTTTTACCTCATTTTATATAAGAAGATAGAGTAAAGTGAGACGAACATTTTTGTGCTTGAGGAACAGCACTTGAAAACCTACTTAAAAAACGCTAGAGGTTTTCAAAGTTCTTCTCAGCTAAAATTGCTGGAATGATTCGGATTACCGCAACTGATGTAACTCCGATCACTTTCTCAGTGCTCTCATCATTTTTGTAAAAATTTTATAAAAAGATGAACTTTTTTTAATATTTTAACATAGACTTGTAGAAAACACTTTGGGCTATCTATTGGTGAAAAAAATCTTGTTTGTTCGATATAAAATAGTTGAGTAATGGCTGAGATAAGTCGATTTTTTTGAGAAGTGAACCGAATTACACCAACTGATTATATATTCATTTCAAACAGGATTTACATCGAAAAGTTTAAGTGTATCATATTTATTTCTAGTTAATTTTCGTTGATAATGATAACATGACAGTATATGGGTAGAAAAATAACTTTGCATTGAGTATAGGAGAAAATTTCTACAGTTGTTACAGGGCATGACAAATTCAGGTTACACGTTGCCAATAATGTCGTGTCCTACAGTTCTCTACTCGTAAGGATACTTGTATTAATCTCTATCTCTTCAACACATTAACTCTGAAAAAATAAACACCCATTATTTGACTTATAGTATTTTGCAAAACCTAGATCTACTGAAAAAAAATTTAATCAAGGTTTTTTTTCAAAAATTATTCTCAAACGTGTTGTCATCATTTCTTGTTCTAAATTAAATTTTCATCTGCAACGAGATTTAATAAAATAAAAAATAGGGTGTGAGTGTGTGGGTGTAGGTATGGGTAAAGTCTTCTATTCACACCCACATCACACATCTACACTCATACTCACACCCACACCCACACACCCTTTATGCCGCAGCTACAATTTCGATTAGCATTGAATTTCGAATACCGGCCCATGAATGCTTCTTATGACTCAAAACAATTTCTATGAATGTACTAGGACGAGGTATTGAATACATATAAGAAATAAGTTTTGTTACTTTATCACAATCTGTTGTGGTTTTTGAAAATAAAAAAAAGTCGAAAGTGGATCGAATGTAGATATGTTTGGGGTGTAGGCGTAGTTGTGCGGGTGTTGGTACTGATTTTCTTTTCATCCACACCCACACTCTCAAGTGAATTCGGATGCAAGAAGAATTTGACAAGAGGTCAATAACATTCTCTTTACGATAGTCAGCAGACAACTATTATTTTATATTCAGGATGACATTGTTAGTTTCGCACAGATCTGTGAGTATCTCAGCATAAACAACAAAAAAAAAATATCTACTTTTTCTTGTCATGGACAGGCAAGAAGAAAAAGAGACAAAAGAAAAATGTGCACTATCTAAAAAAAGGTGTCTCAGAGCTGTTTATTCTGTAATTCATTGATAACACAAGTGAATTACATAATAACCACTCAACGCGAAAAAAAGAGCAGCGTCTGAAGAAAACGAGTTTGCAATACATCACAACCCACTAGGTAGTAGTCGATGCGAAAAGGCGACTAGTCTTTATTATACATTAGTTGTACTGGTACAATAATAATACATATTAAGAAATGGAGTCGACGTTAAATGAGCTTATGATTCAACCATACTTGTCTATCACTGACGAACAAGTATCTAAAACGTTGAATACAGTCATAGATTACAAACAGTCCATCTGCATTTTTTTATAAGAAGATTGTGCTCATCAACAGATTGATTCGCACGCCCTTATCTAACAGGCTGTGGGTGTTGGTCTTATCTTCATCATACCCACACCCGCATCACAATCTGCTTCTTCATCATTGGCATTCTAACTTCTGTTTTCATAACGAAATTCGTTTAAGATGAAAATTATTTTGTTCTAGATTAGAATTAAAATATTTGGCACTTCTTTGCTCATCATTAGGATGACTTTTACGATTGAAATGTATTTTTTATTCGTTTTATTTCTACTACCAATACGAATCCATGGAATTCCAGTTTCAACTATATTGGATACCGACATTGGTACTGCTTATGATGATCAAGTAGCGTTAACATATATGTTATCACGGCAAGATCTATTTGATTTAAAACTAATTATTTGTTCAACATCGAATACAACAGCTCGTGCACAAATTGTGGCTAAAACATTGAGTATTTTTAAACGATTTGACATTCCTATAGCCATCGGACGCTATATAAATGATAGCAATCATGTTTACGAATATAGATGGGCTGAAGACTATTCATTGGAAAAATTCAACAATGATGGCGGAGTAATACTGTTGGATGGTGAACAGGCATTATTCAATGAAATGAAGAAAGCATCGGCTGAGAATATCTATCATTATATTCAAATAGGACCGGCAACATCGTTGGGCCATGTGCTTCAAAAACAGCCATCATTATCGTTGTACATAAGAGTATTTGCTATGGCTGGTAGTTTATACAATGGGTATGAAAATTCTAGTACACCATCAAAAGAATACAATGTTGAGTATGACATTCAATCAGCGCAGACAATGTTCTCATCGGATTGGATACATTTTAGTTTAGCACCATTGGATTGTACTAATTTCATGCAATTCTATGGATTGTTATGGCAAAAATTTTTATCGTATCGAAATACATCTCGTATAGTTGATATGATAATTGAGAGTTATACAATTTGGTATAATGATGGTGGAAAAAAAATCAGTTCCACCTTACCGTATACTCCTCAGTGGGGTACACCGGAAATGCACGATGTTTTAGCTGTCTATTTATCTGGTATTTACCCATCTATGAGTCCAACAATATCCAAGCTGCTACCATTATTCGTTACAAACGATGGTTATACACGAGAAAATCAAACAATTAGTAAACAAATCAATTCATGTTTGAAATACGAAAAATCTGATCCATATGTAGCAACAACTCAAATTGGTTACGATGTCTTAGGATCGATTGCTCAGAAAGATTTACGAACGAAGGACGGTTGCCATCGTTTCTCTGTATGTGCACAATCATTAGTTGTTTTATCTATCATTATGTCGCTGTATGCCTATTATTATCAATAAATGCATCACTTCAACGACAAAATGTTATTAGAATTCGGTTCTATAGTCCGTGATTGTTGAACAGACTTTTTCGGACGCAAAAAGAAGAGCATTGATACCTTTACTAGAAGCTTTAGAAATATCTATTTGAAAAAAGTGAGAAAAAAAGCTGAAATATGAGATGATGTTGGGAAGAGTGGGTATGAGGATTGGAGTCAATATTTCGACCCTCACCTTCAAGAGAACATTGACGGATAATATTAGTCAGACAAATTTCATTACAATACATTTTGATAAGCGATTCTCGACTAAGGATTGTTTAATGTAAACATGCATGGAGTTGTAACTAAATATAGAACTATTATTAAGGCAAATCTTGTATTGAATTGATTTTAGTTTGACATTTAGCAATCGTTTGCTTATTGTCTGGATCACACTTTTGCCAAATATTTATTGCTTTATAGTAACTCAAAAGCTTTTGTTCAATATCAACTGTTAAATCGCCGAGTATTTCGTAAATGCGAGCGATATTTGGATGAAGTTCACCGACTAATTCTCGTTGTGAGATCAGTTTTTCATTACAAAATTGCACAGCTTTGTCGATACAATTCATTTTCTGATAAAGCTGTATAATGCTTTCAAAATATTTTTGTAGACGCGGATGTTCAGGCGGTATTATTTTCATCGCCATTTTATGACCACTATGGTAATAATCGATAGCACGATCGTAGTCGTTTTGCTTTTCGTGCAAGTAACCAAATTTCATGAGTGTTCTAGCCATATCGGCATGCTCATATGGAGGGATGCGTTGGAACATTTCCAGTGCTTTTGTTAAGTAATCAAATGCTTTTCGGAAATCACATAAATGAGTGTAATTATCACCGATAACAGCCAAAACTATAGCAATATTTACATGATCCTCTCCAGAATAATTCTTTTCTCTTATGCGCAATGCTTCTATGAGAAGTTCCATTGCTGTAGTATAATCACCGATTCCTACGTAATCGCACCCAAGGTTAAGTGAAGATCGAGCAATGTCTAAATGATTTTCTGTTAACGTTTGCCTTCGTGTTGTATATGCAATGGTGTCATATTTCAACGCTTCAACATATTGCTCTCTTACATAATGCGTGTAACCTAACCCATGATATAGTGATGGAAAATCATCATGATTCTTTGGCAGAGTGTTCAGAACCAACTGATAATATTGTTCGGCTTTCGAATACTGACCCATATCAATAAGCAACTTTCCGAATAGTCGTGTGGGATTTGTTTCTGCTAAATCTTTTCTCATCGAGTTAATATGTTCTTGAACATATTCCAATTCGTCATTTGTAGCAGTCATGTGTACATACGATTTTTTCAATACAGGATCGTACGTAACATTGTCTATTCTGAATGTTGATCCAATACTAAATAAAACTTCTTTTTCTTGTGGATAGTTACTAAGTTCTTCAATATCAGCTGCTACAAACGCTCCAGTAGCCATTTTCGTTTGATCCATGGTTATTACGAATAGCGTACTCTTTGTCTTAGCATTATCTTCACCTGCAAACGGTAATGCAACCTCATAATCTTTTGTTGTTGAAAAAAAACCATTCGGTGATATTAATTTTCCAATATTTGTTTTTAGAGTCTCCAATTCTTGTTCACGCATGGGTCGACCTCGATATAATGTCGTGGGTAGTGATGACGACGAAAGATAATTTTGGCTTGCGAGCTCGATTTGTTTACATAAATCGATAATATAAAAGCGAAGCAAATACAATAAATACATGTCGTCGATTCTAAAAGCTTTATTCATGAGTCTATAAGCAAAACCATTCTTTGTGTACCAGTTAACTGCATCTGAAGGCTTATATTTCTCATCGAATTCTTTGATTTGCTTTAGGTAGAAGTTATTTTTCCGGTAATAATTTTTACAAACATTTATCATCTGCTCTTTAGCTTCGATGGTTTGTGGTAACTGTTTGAAAACATCCAGCAGTAAGTGGAACCATAGAAATGAAGCTGGATTACGTGCAAGATCACGAAAAGAACTCTCTTTCGTATTATCGAATAAACTAAAGGTAACTGTTTGCTTAGAAAACAGATGAACACTATTTTGAATAGCTTTAATTAAAGAACTTTGATCATCGCAAATAATTACATCGTTTGAAAACTGACTTGAATCAATGCCACATTGCATGCTATTAGCAGAATAGATGAATATCGAAACAACTGTATGTATCGATTGAATATACGGCAAAGTACTTTTAGCCATATTATGAGATATTATTAAAAAAATTTTTTCGTTAGTAACCGATTGAATATACTCAATACAAAGTTGAGCATCGGTGTACAATAGAATGTAGTCATTCAGTTCATGAACTTTATCGAATGTTTGGGAAAAATCAACTGAATCATTAATGTGTTCGTCTAACCAAACCAATGTTAGATCTTCTTTGTTTTCTGTTATATCAGCAGGTATGCAATCGCAACGTAGCTTTTCTCTTGTATCATCTGCATTCCTTTCCTCTTGCGGATCAGATCGTTTTTCCATAATAGCGTTCTTCATTTAAAAAAAAATTAAGAATTGTTTTGGTGTTCAGAACATTTCGAAAATGGAAGAGTCTAAATCGTTAATTGCTGAGAAAGAGCTGCTAGTGTAACATCATCCAATAGGTTGAACATATATTGGCGAGTGTGGGTGTGGGCTAGGAGAACGCCTACATTTCTATTCACACATACACCCACGCACCCTACACTCTTCGTAGCCAACCCCAATAGACTCTGATGTCAGTCATTCTCTGGGATACAAATGACTACAGATTTTGCACTAGCTGTTTTATTCAGAACTGTACTAACAAATTTTTACCATTCTGTAGATACAAAGGCCGGCGACTTATAGTTCTAATCAACAAGAACTGTGTTTTTGAAATGTTTCTTCAAACCCTATCCTTAGTGATGTCGACCAATTCTAAACATATTCCAAAGGATTCGAATATAGTTAAGAGTGGAATTGTTGCATCCCTAACTAACACCTTTTTAATGCATTCTCTCATAAAAATTGCGTTCCTATTCATTGAAACTACACATTTACATGCAAATTAACGCACCTTTTCAACTTTTTGTGCCGCCTTGGCAGATAATCTGCTGCAGTACATTGAGAGTAGCGTACAGTGATGAGGATAACGAAAATATTTAAAGCAGCAGTGATTTCATGTTTTTTCTCCTTGCATCTCGAAATATTCTCTAAACAAAGCAAAAAGCGGAAGTGTAAAATATTTTGAAAGAGTCGTCGATTTATTAGTTCTATAGCGGTGAAAAATACTTTTTTTGGGCCAACAGAACGGGAAGAAAAATCATTTTCTTCTTGTTTGACGGCAACAGCGATGTAAGCACAACTCGTCTTACGCCAAATTATCAGACACGAGAGAAATGGCAGCCAGTATTACATCGTGAATCATTTTTCTCATTGAGAATGTGAATAAAGATGAAGCCGTTGGCGTGTGGGCATAGGTTTGAGTGAAATGAATAGCCACACTTACCTATGAGCAATTAGTATATTCGAGGCGATTCGATTTTGTTGAAGAGGAGCTCTAACAGATTCATTCTTGTGTATATTGGCCTTTCGATAAGCGCACTCATTGGCTTTTTCAGTCAGTGCTACCAGTTATTTTTCTTCATCTGCTTGCATCACTACATGGACGGTTCTCTTTCTCGTCGAACTGAATAACTGCTGAAGTTGGTTTTTTCTTTCTCTCACATATTGCGTAGTAGAGATGATTTAAAAAACACGAAACTCCGACTTTTCTTTTTACATCCTTGTGGGTGTGGATGTGGATGTGGATGTTTTCTCTTTACTAATACTCCCACTCACACCCCATACTCTTAAATCGTAATAGGAACTATGAAAGTATTACTCGAAAGAGGACCAAACATTTTTTAAAGAATGAGAACGAAGCAAAGTTGTTCCTTCGGTACGCAATTTCCGGTGTTCATGGGAAATATATAACTTCAAATAAGCAAAAAAACAAATAATGAAGAGTGATACCGTGAGAAAATTATTGAATTGCTATAGCGTGTCTACCGGTCAACATGAGTTTTCCTTGAATGCCTTATAGCTAAATGACCATAAGGAACAAGTAGCAGATGGGTGTGCGTGTGGGTGTGAGGGTGTGGATGTGGGTATCGAGTGTGGGTGTAGGTAGGTGTGAATGTCGGGTGGGTGTGGGTCGGTGTGTGTGGATGTGGATGTGATTATATGTCAAGAGAAGATATACACACCCACATCCACACCCTCAAGAAATAAAGAAATATGACGCATA